CTCGGGACTGCGCGCCCGAGAAGAGGGCTGGGCGCGCGGGGGAAAGGGAAATCGCAGCGGCCGCCTCTCTATCGCTGCAGCCAGGGTGGGAGGAAGCCCCGGACCTACCTCCTGGGGAGTGACTGGAGCGGGGGAGGCAGGGTAGGGGAATCCCTGGGAAGATCTCGGCTGTCTGGGCGCGCTCGTCCGGAATGGAATGCAAACTGTGACGTTTGGAGATTTTTGCACAAGCGCGGATGGACACACGCACCACACTACACAACACAGCGCACACGCACACACACAACCCACAGGGGATTTTTTGCACATTTTTATTTGCAGTGTTTAGAAGCCCTCGCAGTGTGAGCCTCGGTCTGATAACAGCATCTGAAGGGTGGATGAGTGGAGAGGAAGCGGGAGGGGGGAAGAGGGAACGGTTCATCCGCACTGAGTCAGTTGAGCGAGTCTTCCAGGCTGTGTGGCATCGGAGGGTGCGGTGTGGGAGCCGACGGAGTCACACTGCAGCGCTCCCGGGATTCTTGAACGGACTCCAATGGCCAGGAGTCTGGCGGTCCGTGGGCTGAGTGCCTAGGCTGGGCTCACTCGGGGAGCAGGGCTGCTTAGTCCTGCTGCCCCCAGCGATTCTAGAAAAGAACCCGTGGCTGACTGCCTACTATTTCAACAGGAGGTGTGGCCCAGGGATCTGCTCTCTGCCTTGACAGCCAAGGACTCCAGGTGATCAACGCATTAAAAATCTAGGCCCAGATGAAGAAAGCCCAGGATTCTTATTTCCAGAGCTCCAGGCTCAGCAGGAAAGATATTGAGACCTCGTACCATTAAAAGAATCTCAGGTAGTGAGAATAAGCCCATTTGGGAAACATGGCGGGGGGGGGGGCAGGGGGGCTGTTTGTCTCTGAGCCTTGAAAGCCCACTGCACGAAAGGACTTTTTGAAAGGAGAAAAAAAGCAGTTTGCCAAAGATTCCATCCTAGGGAGGGTTTGATACCAAGGACAGTGACCTACCTTCTGCATTTGGGAGCCCAATGTTTGGCTAGCAAGAAAGATCTCTCTGGAAGCAGAAGCAGGGTGCCTGGATTTTTATCCCACAACCTATTTATTTATGAATGAATTATGCAAATATTAAGGGCGTGCCTGATATGTGTCAAGCCCTGTAGCAAGATGCTGGAGTGTTATAATTGAAAATCCATAATCCTTGTTTTCAAAAAGCCTAAAGACCATATTCTCTCCATTTGCTTTAAGAGCTAAAGCCAGTAAAATTACACTTAATTTTTCCCCTTTTCAGTCTGTAGCTCGCCTTCAAGCCCTCTCAAAAATATTTAGTCTATTATCTGCTGCCAAGTACTTTTACTTTAAAAAAAATAAATAAATAAACCAAAACCATTCATGATAGTATTTGTTTAAGTAAAAATAATTGCATGCATTGTTTTCTATGTACTACATATTGCCAAATCCTTTACATGAATTACCTTATTTAATCATCAGAACATCCATATAAGAGAAATATTATTACTTCCATTTTACAGATGATAAAACAGAGGCCCAGAAAAGCTATTTGCAGTCTCAGGGCTACTAATTAGTAGTGTAGAAATCACAACCAGGCATTCCAAACTCAGAGGCCATGCTATACCATCTCCCCTCATGCTCTGTGAAATTCAAAGTATCATCTTGGAGGGGTCCTTTTGTGCCTTAGTTAGAACCAAAATCCACACATGTTGCAGCTAGACATCAGTTAAAGACAGGATGAAATGTAACAGTACAATATGCAACTTATAATTTAACTACAGTAGAAATGGGAGAAAGAAAAGATCACTGGGAATTAGGGGTAATCAAAGGAATTTCTGATGAAAATCTGAGTGCCTGGTAAGTGCCAATTCTCTCCTTGAAATACAGCACTGAACACAACAGTCCCTCAACGTTGACTTTCTATGTTAGCATGTTCTAGAACAGTGGTTCTCAACCTTGGCTGCACATTAGAATCACCTGGAATCTTTTTAAAATCCTGATTTCTGGGCCCCATCCTCCGGAAATTCTGTTTCTTTGTTACTAATGTTGTGGCCCCACCCCATAACAAAGAAACAGAATTTCCGGAGGATGAGGCCCAGAAATCAGGATTTTAAAAAGATTCCCAGGTGATTCTAATGTGCAGCCAAGGTTGAGAACCACTGTTGTAGAACCTCATGCTATACCTTCCTTCTTTTCATTAGAGTTCATCTCTCTCTCAAATATCCAGCTTCCTCCTGAACTCAAGATTTTACAAATGGGACACTTATTTACAACAGATAAATTGCAGGCACTCTGTAAATGATTGCTGAAAAAATAAATAGGTTTACTTGCTTATTTAAATAACTCCAATCTTTTGGATATGTGGTAATGTCACATAGTATATTTTAAGTGCACATTAATATAATTTCAGGCCAGATTTACTCTAACTCCCTTAATTTTCAGGTGAGAAGATGGAGGATTAAGGTGAGTTTAAGTGATATGTCCAAGTTCAAATACAGACAGAAGTAGAGCAGTGGCAGAATTTGACTGCAGCCTTCCTAATTATTTATTTTAAAATCTTCGCTGGTTCTCAAACTGGCCCCTGTACATGGAGAGCAAGAAGACATCTAGAAAAGAGGAAGACTGCTCTAGAGTGGTAGATGGTGCTTTTAATAAGCAAGGGAACTTGCATATGAACTTGGGTGGTCACAAGACAAGTAGATTTCTGCATCTGACTGCCAAATCCTAAAATGAAATTACTGAGTTCAGTAATATATATATAATCTAGAATTCAGTGGTTCTCAACCTTCTGGCCCTTTAAATACAGTTCCTCATGTTGTGACCCAACCATAAAATTATTTTCGTTGCTACTTCATAACTGTAACGTTGCTATTGTTACGAATCATAATGTAAATATCTGATATGCAGGATGGTCTTAGGTGACCCCTGTGAAAGGGTCGTTCGACCGCCAAAGGGGTCGCGACCCACAGGTTGAGAACCGCTGATCTAGATGGTCTCAACACCTTCCTCTCTCAAGGCTATGTCCTTACAATGAATCCTAGGCGGAGGATGGTGGGCAGAACTTACATTCCAAGGAGGTAGAGGGATTGAGGAAACTGACTTCCCAGGTCCTGTTCCTGGGTCAACCAGCTGTTTCATGCTCTTGATGACCTACCTCCTCCAACAACCTTCCATCTCTGTCATTCTTTTTGTTGTTGTTACCGAATAACACATTGCAGCAGCTAAACACGGAAAATATGTTATCTAAATCCATACAAATTAGTGGAAGATGTTTTCCCAGATTTTTTTTTGCTTTCTATCCAATTCACTTTCATCTTAATCCTACTATTTGTGTGTGTGCCATTTGTGTGTGTGTGTGAGTGTGAGAGAGTATTTGTGGTTTTGTGGTGTATATTTCTTCTACATTAAACCTTTCTCAGAGAAGTTTTGTATGAGCAAGAATCCTCTTCTTACACCAGCTGCAGTACCTTCAGGTAGCAGTTATAGATCAATATAGTGGATTTTAGCTCCATAATGGTTCTCCGGTTTAAAGAAAGGCTTTAATTAGGACAACAGCCTGCTCCCATCTCAGCCTGTATAATTTCAGAGTTAGCAACTAATGCATTAGGTTTTTAAATTATTTGCCAGGAATTTTTTTCACATTACCTCCCCAATGATTAGCGTTAAAATCACAAGTATTAAGTTTTGCTTTTTCTTTTGCCCCTGAAAAACACATTCTGGTTGACTACTCAGCATTTGCTACATGCTGAGTTAGAGAGTCATATGTCCCATTTATTAGGAAGATCTTTACACAGGGATTGTGGCAGACAGACCCACTCTGAATATTTGGAAGCCCAGGTCAAAAGTCCAAAATCTGATGAAGTCTTTCTTTCCCAAACTCATGGGCCTTCCTCATTCCCTGCCCAGCCTTGACACTGCCTAGCACTGCCAAAGGTCTCGTGTGGGGTCTTTCATGCTGGTGTGAGATGCCTCAAGCTCCAGCGCCCATGGTTTTCCCACACACACTTATTGAAAGAGTGATTTCTTGGCCATACTCTCAGTCCTAGGTGCGTACTCACCAGCATTGCTGCCTACCTTGGGAAAACAGTACCTGGCCCCTCCCTCAGCCCAATGGTAGTAAACATCAAATGATTGTATGGAATAACTTTGCTTTCATTCAATGCATTGGAGATGTTCAATAACAACCCTTTCACAGGGGTCGCCTAAGACCATCCTGCATATCAGATATTTACATTACGATTCATAACAGTAGCAACATTATAGTTATGAAGTAGCAACGAAAATAATTTTATGGTTGGGTCACAACATGAGGAACTGTATTTAAAGGGCCAGAAGGTTGAGAACCACTGCTATAGAGGCTTTACACGAAATTGCTGTCCCATGTTAGATAACTTTATGCAAATTGTTAAAGAATATATACTATGAAAACAAATTAGTACTTATATTGTAAATATATAAAAAAAAAAAAGTCTTCCAAAAGAAATAACAGACCATCTCTTGCCACCCTGATGACAACCCTGCTTGTCATGGGATATGGGTTGAACCAGTGAGGCCTGGCCCTGAGATCTTCAAAATGCAGATGCATCTGTGAGAGTATTTGAATTTTAATATTTGAATGTAAGGAAAGCACCTTCTAGATTATCTGCGTGTCTGGTTTATACGTGAGCTGAGCCATTCTGCATCTGCATCTATGATTATAACTGGGTTTCCAAGGGCTCGCTCACAGACAGGTCTGATTTTCAACACAGTGCTTCTTAAACTGGGAGTCTGGTAGAAATATTTTTCCTTTAAATGGGGTCCATGCATTACTCAATATGAGCCATTTTGGGGAGTGTTTGTTCTTTTGAGCTGGGCTGCAATGATATCAGAAGCTTTTATTTTTTGTTAATCTTCACCCAAGGATATTTTTCCCATTTATTTTTAGACAGTGGAAGGGAGGAGGAGAGACACAGGGAGAAATATCAATGTGAGAGAGATTGGTTGCCTCTCATATGGGGCCAGGGATGGAGCCTGCAACCAAGGTACATGCCCTACCGGCTAGGATGATGTCAGAAGCTTTTAAAAGTTTTTCGAGGTGAACTGAAATCCAGGAGGCCACAGCTATTAAGGCAATTAAGACATTTGGGTCCTGGCCCTGACCGGGTAGTTCAGTTGGTTGGAGAGTCATTCTGATATGCCAAGGTTGTGGGTTTGATCCCCGGTCAGGGCACAGAATCAGCCAATGATTGCATAAATAAATGGAACAACAAATTGTTTCTCTCAAAGCAGTCAGTAAAATAAGACATTTGGGTCCTGTTGTTATTTTAAATCTCCTGAGGGTTTATGTTTTGTTCAAAGCGGGACGCCAAACTCCCAACCAGACCACAGGAACGCACAGAGAGGCAGAGGCGGTAGATGAGTATTACCCGATTTATTAGAGATCTCTTCAACATAAAAAGAGGAAGGGGTGGCAGGGGTGGGGCCCGGGGCTGCATATGAGTGTTATCAGGGCCAGCAGTAACACTAAGTTAACACTGAGAGAGTAACTGAAGCAGCTACCACCATTATGACCTGGGAGACAAAGCAAGGGCATTGGGGTTATCAGAACGGAGAAGCCTGAGAAAGGGGGTCCCCAATGATCTGGAGCCAGACCTCTCAAGGGAAGGTGCTTCCCATTGGTGCTGGCACCTTAGAAGCTCAGAGGAGCGGCTGTAACTCAGACCCCTCTGAGGAAGGTGTCTTGTTCAGCTGGTACTGTTGTCTCTGATCAGGGCAGTGAAGGCTGGTTCTGAGACTCCTGGAAGAAACTGGAAAGTGGACCGGGAAGGGGGTCCCCAATGATCTGGAGCCAAATCTCTCAAGGGAAGGTGCTTCCCATTGGTTCTGGCACCTTAGAACAGTGGTTTTCAACCTTGGCTGCACATTAGAATCACCCGGGAATCTTTTTTTTTTTAATATATTTTATTGATTTTTTACAGAGAGAAAGGGACAGGGATAGAGAGTTAGAAACATTGATGAGAGAGAAACATCGATCAGCTGCCTCCTGCACACTCCCCACTGGGTATGTGCCCACAACCAAGGTTCATGCCCTTGACAGGAATCGAACCCGGGACCCTTGAGTCCGCAGGCCGACGCTCTATCCACTGAGCCAAACCGGTCAGGGCGTCACCTGGGAATCTTTTTAAAATCCTGATTTCTGGGCCTCATCCTCTGGAAATTCTGTTTCTTTGTTATGGGGTGGGGCCTTAGAAGCTCAGAGGAGCAGCTGTAACTCAGACCCCTCTGAGGAAGGTGTCTTGTTCAGCTGGTACTGTTGTCTCTGATCAGGGCAGTGAAGGCTGGTTCTGAGACTCCTGGAAGAAACTGGAAAGTGGACCAACTGCTGCTTGCTGAAGCAAGAGCTGCTGTGGAGGAGACAGAGAAATTGGATGCAAAACTGAATGGATCAAGTCCTTTCTCCAGCTTCTGGCCTTCTCATCAATCTCTAGCACCCCCTGTTGGCAAAGCGCAACATCACAGAGCAGAGTATGAAAATATTTGGGGCTAAACCATAATAGGAGAGGAACAAGACACCTACTGAATTCCAACAATGACAGGACTTCGATGGGGGCAGATTTGCCTCTAATGCTGAGAGCTTCCTCGGTTGTTACAGCCCAGGGGGTTTTGAAAGAAGTTGTTGCTTCTCAGCTGGTTTTCGCAGTGCTTGATGAGACTGAGCAGTACTTTTCTCTCTGAATCACCAGCAGTTCTGATATCTTACCTACAACTTTATATACAGTAGCTCTTCCCAAATAGGTTTTTGGGCTCATCTCTCACTGTCCTATGAAGCGAAGTAGCCTGCCCCACAGTCCTTCTTCCTACCTTTGAATTAGGCACCTCATCCCTAGCCTTGGCTGACTCCACCATAGTCAAAGGCCAAGCATTTCTCATAATCATGCCTGGAACTAGCTCCTAAATGACCAGCAGCATCAATGATGATGCCTTACTTCCATGTCCCTAGAACAGTGATGGTGAACCTTTTGAGCTTGGCGTGTCAGCATTTTGAAAAACCCTAGCTTAACTCTTATTTAAATGCTATTTAACAAAGAAAAATCAACCAAAAAATGAGTTTGCGTGTCACCTCTGACACGCGTGTCATAGGTTCGCCATCACTGCCCTAGAACATGCCTGATAATAATGGAAATGCAAAAAGACAAGAGATGTCATCTGGTCTGGAGACTTGGTCCTGAGTTAGACTTGATCGAGCATTGCTCATACTAGTAATCATGCCTGGGACCAGCTCCTAAATGGCCAGTAGCATCAAAGATGGTGCCTTACTTCCATGTCCCTAGAACCTGCCTGATAATAATGGAAATGCAAAGAGACAAGAGATGTCGTCTGGTCTGGAGACTTGGTCCTGAGTTAGACTTGATCTAGAGAGGCAACACAGCTTGACCTTCAGGCAGAGAGACCATTATGGGAACTCAGAAAGGGAATGTCCAATATGAACCGTAAGAGTTGGGCAAAGCTTGATGGCAGAGGTGAGTCCCTCTATCTTTAAAGGAGTGCTAACCACAGGCACTGTGCACCATGCAGTGGAATAAGAGGCGCTGGACTTGGAATCAGAAGGCTGGTGTTTGAATGGGAACTCTCCCATTTACCAGCTATGGAATTTCAAAAGTACTTAAGCCCTTTAAGCTAGAATTTCTTTTGCAAATGCAGGATAAGACATCTTCCCTGTAGAATGATTGAGATAATTACATATAATAGTATACCAAAAAGTATTGAATATGTTATGGGTACTTAATAATTATTAATTAACCTAAATCAATATGGAACTGTAATTGGAAAATGCTGATGTGTTTTACACAACCAGGAATTTTAAATCATATTCCAGACACTTAGTGTATATATGCCAAGTTATGGTTCTCATGCATCCTGTTCTATATTCCTTCCCTCATAGCCAAGGCAATGATCTCTGATTGGTTGGATGGAACTGGAGCTTAGGAAGTTGAAGTTAAAGGGGAATAGACCCGTGGTCCGAAAACTGCAGCTCACCAGCCACATGCGGCTCTTTGGCCCCTTGAGTGTGGCTCTTCCTAGGCCTTAGGAGTACCCTAATTAAGTTAATAACAATGTACCTACCTATATAGTTTAAGTTTAAAAAATTTGGCTCTCAAAAGAAATTTCAATCGTTGTACTGTTGATATTTGGCTCTGTTGACTAATGAGTTTGCCGACCACTGGAATAGACAATTATACAAACAGATATTTTTATTTTAAGCAATATTTATTTGATATTCACTAACTAGACCCCCCTTTTTTTTCTTATTCTCATCAGGGAGGAAATGACATCATGAAGATGAGATTTGAAGAACTCAAATAGAAATAAGAAGACATGAGTCAAAGTTACTGCTCTGCCATTTAGAGGTTATGTGGGCAAGTTACTTAACTTTTCCAGCCTGAGTTTTAGTTGTTGCTTTGTTTTTTGACTCTGTAATATTTTTTTTCTTTCCTATAAGAGGTGGATTAACCTACCCTACTGGGCTGTTTTGAGGAATAAATGATATAATACATGCAAAGTGCCTGGTGTGGAGTAAGCCCTAAGTACATGGGGTCATTATGTTAGCTCCTGAACACTCAATGTTTGTGGACAGATCAGTGCGATACTGGCTTGAGTCCTGGCTTTGCCACTTACTGTGTGAGCTTGGGTGACTCATTTAAAATCTCCAGGCCTTAGTTTCTTCATCTTCAAAACTAAGAGACTACACTGAGTTTCCCTATTTCACAGGTAGTGAATGTGATGGAAAAAATCAGTATTAAAACATTTTTATATGTGGGTATACATCTATATGTATGTATATGTGTATATATGTATATTTGTATGCATAACTCTATATATGTAGGCATGCATGTATGTATGTGTATACACACATGTATACACACATGTATACCATGGTACACACATAGAACTTGATTTAGAAGGCCTCTTAATATTATATAATCTACCTATGTAGCTCATCGATAGGAATTTACTGATGCAGCGGTTCTCAACCTGTGGGTCGCGGCCATTGGAAAACACATATAGCATATCAGATATTTACATTACGATTCATAACAGTAGCAAAATTACAGTTATGAAGTAGCAACGAAAATAATTTTATGGTTGGGGTCACCACAACATGAGGAACTGTATTAAAGGGTCGCGGCATTAGGAAGGTTGAGAACCACATTAAGGCAAAGAAAGGCCATCAAAACCCAGGCTATCCTGTGACAATTGAGGGAAGCAAAGGTAGCCTCTCATTTGTTACAGATAAGCATTAATATCTTTATTCATTAATAATTAATTGCCCCAGACTCTGATTCCGGTATAATTGTACCTTATGAAATCCCACAGCAGAGAAATACTGTGCAAAATGCAAAACACCAATTTTATCATGAGTAATAAAAATTCAATTAAGTTGAGAATAAATGTGCGAGTTAGCAACCCAAGCTTAACATAAAACCATGGAATGTAAATAGATTTGGGAAAACAAAATAACAAGGGTATGACAATTTATAAAGTGCACGGAAAATCCATCATTGCCTTCCACACACTGGCAAGAAAAGGCCCACGTTATGGGAAAGGAGACTAATCTTTGACATTTTTTACTGTGCTTTATAGCCGGAACAGTCCAAACAAGGAGGCCGAATAGGAGGTTTCTCATACAGCCGGAGGGTACATGTAAACTGCCCCGAATTACTTCTTCCGTGTACCTTTGGTGGGGCCTGGAATTCTACAGTGTTGTTGAAGGTTTCACTCCAGAAGAGCATGAGTGAAAAATATGACGGTGAACCTGGTATCAGATAATTTTGGCCTTGGTCTGCACTTTGTCCTTTACTTTCTATGTAACTATGGACAACGCACTTAACTTCCCTGATCTTCAATAGTAGAGGCACTAATCATGTTATTGTTATGAACTATGTTATGAGAGATATTTAATTAGAGCACTCTGCATATATTACAGAGGTTAATGAATGTTATATAAGAAGGGAGATTACAAAGTAATTCGATGATCTTAGGATCTTTCTGTGGTTTTTATTCACAGAGCAAAGTCTGCATGTTCAAATAATTTTGTCCTTCCAAGGAAGATTCTCAGAAAAGAATTTTTCAACAATTCTATCCTTTCTCAAAATAGTATTGGGATTCTTATCTGAAAATGGATTTCAAAAGTCATACCAAAATAAAATGGCTATATTACTATCACAACCATTTTTTAAAAAAATAGAAAATGTATCAACAAGCTTTATCCTTCATTTTCTTCAGTGGACTTGAACTTGTCATTAATAAGTACATTCTAAGGCAGTGATGGCGAACCTTTTGAGCTCGGCGTGTCAGCATTTTGAAAAACCCTAACTTAACTCTGGTGCCGTGTCACATATAGAAATTTTTTGGTATTTGCAACCATAGTAAAACAAAGATTTATATTTTTGATATTTATTTTATATATTTAAATGCCATTTAACAAAAATCAACCAAAAAAATGAGTTTGCGTGTCATAGGTTCGCCATCACTGTTCTAAGGAATAAGTCACAGATTTTGAAAGCAATTTGTAGGTAAGGCTCAGAAGTGTTCTGAACAGTGATAACATGGGTGGGACACCTATTAGAGCACCTTGGGGCTGTAGGGGCCATTCAGACCATTTCCCACAGCTACCTGTTCAATGCTGAAACCCTTTCTATAGCTGTTTCCATTCATGGTTGTCCTGTCTGTGCTTGTCCCCTGGCGAGCCTGTGAATGCTTTGGCTTCCCAGTGAATCAGCTTAAAGTCCAATTCAGTTCCCTAGTGAATCAGATGCAAGCTGAATGTCCCATTCTATTTGCTCCCTTCTTTAACGAACTAGCTGCCTTCACTAACAGGCCCAAAGAAAAGTTTTATTGACATGTGAAAAATAATATCGTGACATAACCCATGGGCACATTACCAGTGGTAATGTAACCAATGCAACACTGGACTAAGAACTCACACTTTCCTGAACCTTGTCACTTAGAATTTGGCCTTGAGCAAGACATTTTCCATCTCTGAGTACCTCAGTTTCCTTATAAGTAAAAAATTAAAGGATATATTAGATATTCTCTAAAAGTTCATTTACTTCATTTGTAAGGCTTAAACACAACCTTTATTTGCTACTAGATATTGAGCCCATTAGTGACATTGCTGGAGACTTTGCTTCACAGGGGCCCGGGAAGGAAGTATTTCCCAAGGGAAACGTGTATGGAATTTCCTTAGGAATATAACCAATGAATTGACATGTCATTTCAAGCTTTCACAGAGTCCCATTTTGATGGCCTGACCTAATAAAACAGAGCTGAATAAACAGAAATTTGCCTCACTAATGCCTTGGGCAGAGGGAAGAGGCTCAATCTAGTTATTACACACCACTATGTGTTTGACAATGTCTCCAGTTATTCAGCCAAAAGATTAATCTAAAAAGTCAGCAAATGTTTGTTCAGTGGGGAGAGAAATGCATGATGATTGAATTACATATTATAGCTACATTGATTGACAGCAAAAATACTGAAATATTTGGCCTGGTAAATTGAAGCTCTGTTGCCCAGGAATTTTAAAAAAGGAGGAAACTTAGTGTAATCAGAGCATGTTCACACACTGTTATCATTTCAAACGTGTGTTTTCTCCCTTTCACAAAAAGAAAAAAATCTGTAAAAGAGTCTTGCTTTGTTTATACAGAAACTCGTATAGGCCAGGATCACGAAATATAAATAGGAAAGCCACAGTAGCTAAAGATGGAAGAATGGTAGAAATGGGAAACATTGGGGCAACGTGAGAGAAAAATTCAGAGCAGGAAAGATGGCAAATTTGAACACTCTACTACCCTCTTCTATTTTGGTATTCTGAGTTAGTGAGAGAGAGAGGGAATAGGGAAAAACATTCTTCTATGAGTGTTGTCAGATTCTCTTTATTAACTCTTCAACTCTTTCTGCACAGAGAAAAAGCTTATTTGCAAGCTGTCCTTTTAAAACCACCCAAAGAGATGAGAAGGGAATTCATTTTAGTGATGTCTTTTCATTCCCCTTCAGGTCAGTGGTTCTCAAGTGGTAATGACCATAGGAATCACCTGTGAGACTTGCTGAGCACGTGGATGCCGGGACTCCATCCCCCTAAAGACTCAGACTCCGCACCTGAGGTGGAAACCGCCAGCCTCCTGTTTTAGCAAGTGTCCCAGGTGCCTCTGAGGCAATGGTCCGAAGACCACATTTGAATACCCTTTCATTAATAGGCAACAGAGTATGTAGTCAGTCTCTTCCCCTTTATTGTATCATAGCTGAGCTGAAAAGGATACTTTTTCTGGTTCAGGGGCATTTATCCCCACTGTAATTCTATAGGCAGAGAACTATCCCTCACATCAAACTTGCTAGCTGAATAAAATGCAAAGGTGACTGCTATGCTGCTTAAGAGACCTGCGCCAGGAGGACGAGGGCGGGCGTAGGTGAAACTGTTTATTCCGGGTCAGTAGAACTCAATCAAGGTAAGAAACATTACGTGGATAAAGGCTGGTTGTTTTATAGTACTAAAAGCACAGTCTCCCATAAAGAGACCACAATTGTGAACATTTAGGCACCAATTAATAAAACATCAAAGATATAAAAATGTAACTTTTCATAAAGGAAAACTTTTAAAAAATTGTGAGAGGTTTTAATACAATTATAAATTATATAATTGAAATAGTCTAGTAGCTGATTGTATCCAGTTGCCTCTGTACTTAATTTCTATTAAAGGCAACATAAACCTTTTACTAAGACTTCAAGTTAATCAATAGCATATAATAGCATTCTAAGCGAGAGTGGATTTCAGCAGACCTGACGGTAGACATAAAGGGCAGTTTTTAATTTATCTAAATGGACTTTTAATGGGTTTACTCTTTCTCTCCCTTCAAATGTAATCATGTCTATGTTTATCCACCACAAATTCATGAAGTGTGTGTGTGTGTGTGTGTGTGTGTGTGTGTTACTCTAATGGAGGAAAAACTAATATAAACACAAAACAGTGAGTAATAAAACAGCATTTCTATTTGCTTACAGAATATGTTAGTAAGTAAAAAAGGAACGTAGTCTTTGGTAACTTCCTTGCTTTCTGGTATAAAGAGATGTTAAAGGCTCATCTTATACAAATGCTGTCCATGAATTAGAATTAACAATTTCTCAGAGGCCTGGTAGTTAAGACCATAATCCAAATAGTAGGGGTGCTCATTGCTCCTGGATTGGTCATTGTTTCTAGGTCTTTTCAGAGTAATTATCCGCTTTAGGTCCTTAATCACAGAATAAAGTTTGGGGGAGATGTATGTATATATGTATATCATATATACATTGTTGTATGTGCATTTTTTAAAACTTAATGATACATCATAGAAAGCCCTCCATAGCAGTAAATAGAGGATATATTGTATTTCTTGCACTGAGTATTATAAAGTAATTTCATACCTATAACACAAAGCAATCTCAAAATTAGAAGTTGATTTAAATCAGGGACTCTGACCTTGGCGTGCCCCCCCCCCCCCCACTCTGTAATTAGTAAATGAAACTACATTTGAATGGCTGG